TGAAAAATATATTGTATCTTCTTAAAATAATATAACACATTATCACTAGCTTAATCTTATGTATTTATACTGAACTTGCAATTAATAACTTGTCTTTTCAAGAGTTTTGAGCAAGATAAAATGTTTACATCGATTTATAAATAATTTTTTCTACTTTTACCTCATTACCCCAAAACACAGTAATGTTTACAGTAGTGTTTAAACAGTTCCAAAGCAGTTTTGATGTCTAGGTAAATGTTGTCAATAAATTACATGTAGGAACATGATTCCCTATCATCAGGAACATGATTTAAATGGCTCTAGATCTGCTCCCTCAAACTATACTCAATGATGTACACATCGCACTTGTCATTAATACAAACTTTCTTTCCACACTCATCATGGACTACTTCACGACCATTAGGCATTACTGTGACCTTTGTCATACCGTAATACTGGAATCCATCTGCTAAGCTTCTCCAAAACCTCTGTTTTCACAGTAAAACAAATGTTATTGCCCTTAATAATAGAAACTGTTTTAAAATATAGGATTGACTTTATTGTATTCTAATAGAGTCAAAACAGGTATTAAGTGATACCAGGACAGACCAACCAGACAGTAAGACTAGGTTCCCATCCCTAGATCGATCTAACAGGATCAGTCCATCTCCATGGGGTTTCTTGCTAAACTGTTTTCAGCTTAAGCGGCTTAGATGTCTGGCACGCCTAGCAGCTTCAGTAGGCGTGACAGACATCTAAGCAGCTTAAGTTAATTGCAATTAAGCAAGAATCCCCTTGGAGATAGTTTGATCCAAAGTTAGTACAATAGACCTCTGGGAATGGTCTCTAAGACTTAAGTGGACACAAACATGTACAAGAGAAGTGCTTAACTGTATGCCATCTTACTGTCACATAATCCTCTTAAACATAATGCATAGCAAGTTCTCACAACAGAAATAAAGTGCAATTTCACATTTCCCATAATTTGCAATAATTAAAAAAGAAACTCATCATGGCACGGTGTAAGAAATTTCTTGTCTTAAGTTATTTAACAAACGGCTTGACTACACTCAAAGCACCCTTTCTGCAATTCAAAATCATTGAAAATTTGATTTTGTTCAAACATAAAAAGTGTAGGGGTTTGATCTAGTCATTAATATTGTTCACAACACATTAACATTGTACTTTGTTCCTACTTTTATAGGCAAACTTTCAAGCAATGTCTCCAAGCCTGACACTTGGAAAGGACAGCCAGTTTCACAAACATGAACATTAGCATTGATGACGCCATACAAGTAGGCCATCCAAATTCAATTTTCATTATATGTTGCTTGTTTTTATCCTGCAAACAAGTGGAGAAAACCAACAGCACATTCAGACCAAGTGGATCAGCAGACTAAGGCTCTATTCCCATAGATTTTAGATCGATCTATCCCCGCGGGGAGTCTCACTAGATTACTTTCAGATAATCCGATTTAAATGTCCGTCCCGCCTACTACAAGCTGTAAGGGGGTAATTAACTTTCGTGTCCGCCCGGCTGACAGCTATTTAGCGTGAACCCCCAGGGAGTTAGGTCGATCTAAAGTAGGTCGATCTAATCTATGGAAATGGGGTGTTACAGATCTGCAGACTAAATATGGCTGATCCACTTAAAAGCACTGCTGCTAATACTCTGATGGTCTCCCCGCCTCCACACACCATCCCTGTAGAGGCCTAGCAATTAAACCTCAGAGCAGAGATTTAATCAGTTTAATGGCATGTGTGGAGGCGGGGACACCATTAGGGAATTAAGCGGCTTGCTTTTAAGTGGGGTCAGCCATATTTAGTAGGCAGATCAGTTAGTCTGCGGATCATCAGTTCTGAATGCCCTCCAAGATAAGATAAATGCTGCACCTTTGTAAACATATATTATAATTAAGTACATTTGCCCCGTGGATTCATGTCTTAGGTTAACAAATTAGACAAAAATAAGGTTTTAAGTAGATTGCCAGTGAATAGATTCTGTAAGTGAGAAATCTTAATTATTTTCTTCAACCTGTTTTACTCCACATAACTTCATCACTCTCCCCCAATTAATTATCAATCTTTTTCTTTATCCAAGAGTTTGTAACTTTGACCTGGATAAAATATTGCAAAAAAACTATCCCAGAATGGGGCCAGATTTACGTGACCTTGTCTCTATAATTATGGTTGTAAGCTACCCTTATCTCACCATTGGCTCCACTCTGGCTAGGTGTTTTAACACCACTGGAGTTACTGTCAAAATGCTCCAGATCTTCCATCATGGCATTGGCATCGATCATATTGTGGTAGTCATTCTCTAGCATGGAGGCACTATCCTCGTCATTGTCCCGAACTTCAATAGTCCAAAATTGACCAGGTCGCCGAACTTTCCAGTGCTTGTAGCGCCTGTATCCAAAGTACCCTCCAACTGCTAACAATATTAAAAGAGCGGCTACACTGCAGCCTGCTATAAGTCCTTTGGTTGGTCCATCTAGTCCAGCACCAGAGGAAGGTGAAGAACAGACTGTTGCTGAAAAAAATTTAGTACAGTCAATGTCACAAGTTGTCTTCTACGTGAATCATAAACATGTGGACGGTGGCAACTGTGGAAGTTTTTGTTTTTATATTTCGTAGCTTACTGGTCTGTTAGAAATTAAGGCTGCATTCCCACAGATTTAGATCGATCCATCTGGATCAACCTAACTCCCTCTGGGTTCATGCTAAATTGCTGTCAGTCGAGCTCGCACTACAGTTAATTACCGCCTTACAGCTTTTAGTAGGCGGGACAGACATTTAAGCTGGTTAAGCTGACACCAATCTAGCGAGACTCCCCAAGGGGATAGATCGATCTAAAAATCTGTGGGAATGCAGTCTACGATATCTCATTCCTTTAATGCCAAAGGAATGATTGTGCAGAAAGTCTGTTTGTTCCAACTTTCAAATGCTACACTAAATTTCCTTAATCTTTTCTTGCTACTAGTAATGCAAATTGGATGATTTTGATGACAGATAAGACTCTGAAAGTCTGTCAGCCTGAAAGAAAGGATTTTAATATGTATGGCTTAAATCTTATCCTGCTGAAATCATACAGTATATATACCACTATGTACCAACCTGAGTCCTGGCAGGGCAGACACGGCCCCTGCTCCTGATCTTTGTAGTACCCAAAGTTACACTGGTCACAATATGGTCCAGCATAGCCTTCTTCACACTCACATAGCCACTCATGTTCAGCTGGACAAATAAACAATACTAAGGTCTGTACTTAAAATTTTAATGCTTTCTACAAAACACAGCTAAGTATGTTATTATATAACTGGGTACATGTATAAAATTTGACTTTTGATAAAAGGTAAAAATGCACTGCCTTCAGGTAAATACAATTACCTGAATGGAGAAATCATTTACTTTTTTAAACAATAATTATGGCATAAAAATAATTGTGACTTATGAATGGCAACTTCAAAGCAGAGAGAGAGAGAGAAAGACTCTGACTTACCAGAGATAATACATTTCCCCTTGCAGGGACAGTAGGAACAGTAACTTTCATTCTTTGGCCTCACATATCCAGATGCACACTTATGGCACTGGTTTCCTTCATAACCCATCTTACATACACACACTCCAGTTGTTGTATTGCACAAGGGTTCGTGACTGGGAGTTTCAGTACCAGCTTTATCACAATTGCAGGCTACAATAATACAAAAAATGCACTTTATCATTAATACCAAAAATTGGTCAAAATTTATTCATGAATACTAAAATGTACTCACCTGCTTTTCTTTTATGTTTTTTTTATTTTTCTTTTATTTTTTTTTTTTACAAATATGCACTGTAAATAAAGTTTTAGGAATAGGACAGTGAACATAATACTAATAAGTTCATGAAGAATATAAATTTCTACCAGTCCCTTACATCTGTCTGGCCCATATCCTTTAGTTATAGTTGTTTGCACCGTGGAGTTGACAGCAGGAGTGGATGAGAACACTGCCTGAACATATACCCAATATCTGGTACCTCTCTCAAGATCTCTGATAACTGATGTTGTTGAACTGCTGTTTGTTACATTGATAGCCTTGATTTCTAACATAAAATATATGATAATAGAATTGCATACATGTAAAATATGGTATATACTCATGGTACTACAATGCATATGGAATTATGTTGTGGATAGACATATTTAGCGTGAATACAACTTCCGCTGCACCTCCTGGTTCTCTTTTGAATAACTAATCCAGAATATCACATACTGCAAAGACACTCTGAACAGGGATTCAAATGTCTGAGGAATATCTTTATTTAAGACAAAGGGGAAGATAGACCCATAATAATCTTTGGACTTTTAGAACATACACTGCTTTTTTTAACTTTTTCACTGATACTTCACTGTTTGATTTACCTCCTTTGGAATCTCCTACATGGATAACATATATCTCCACTGTATTGTTTCCTGATATAGTCGTCCATCTTATGCTGAAGCTCGTCATCTCACTGTTCAGCACGGTAACATCAAACATCGGCCCTGCATATGAAATAGAATGAACTCAATAAATGTCAGTGCAACGTACCAGTAATTCAAACTGCGTTGTACGCGTAGTACACAAACGTTATTGTACAAAGTTTTTTTCCTTTGGAGGAGAGAACCATGTAACGTAATTTTTGTATTTTTTGTATATACACAGAATTGTTCATAATAGACTTCTTTCTTTATAAATGACACTATACTTGCCATTTCTCGCCGACTTTGGCGACGTGTTTGTCTCAGTCAGGTGCTCTGGTCCGGCCAATGCACCCGAAAATACAGGTCCTCTTTGACCTACCAGCCCCAGTAGGAGAATCCAGGCCAACGCCTGCAAACTTTCCATACCTCGTCAAATAGCATCCAACTCACTTGCCATTTCAAATTTCTGTAAGCGATTAAGCGAGCAAAAAAATATCAACAAGTGGACAAAATTTGTGAATAAATATTTAATGTCATGTTGATTTCTACCTCTTCTTAGTGGAGAGTTCTTCCGTGTACTTCCGTTTTAGATGCCTTTCTCACTTCCGATGTAAATACCGATGTACACCAGTCGCTCACGGTGTTCAGGTGCATCAAAGGACATTCAGGCCACTTTACACTCGGATCCATTTGTTTTATGTGTTTATTTATAACGTGATTAATGAAGACGTTAATTATTCTACAGGCGTCATCTCTCGAATCAAATCCTCACAGGCAGAATTCGTCTGTCACCAACGACGCAGTAAGCTACACGAACGAGTTCCTGCCATACGTGACCAGAGTAATAAGTTGAAGACGACTCGTGCTTTGTCTAATTACTTTTCCCTCACTCTTCCTTTGTTTGAAAAAAGGGTGCAGGTGTGAGCTCTAACATTGACTAACGTTTTGGTTAATAGGTGTGCTCGCAGTAAGGTCGACAAACAAAAACCTTCATGCCTACAAATGAGATCGTCATTCGGAATGAAATGAGAACCTTTTGGTCAGCGGATTCAGAACACATGGGAAAACTGATTGGTTACAAAAACTGCTTGCTGTGTTATCAAACAAAACCGTGCTGGGAATTGTAGAACACGCAGCTGACACTGAAACACTCAGCTCTGCTACTAATTGTAAAAGGGACCTGAGTTATCATAATCTACAGAAAAAAAATGAATTCCTTCCGGGACTCCGAGACGAACGAACTGCTCACAACTTCTCCAGTTGAAAGGCTGCACCTCTGTATTCGTAACGGCAAAAATAATGATCTGGTGAAGGAGATGATAACACAAGGTATAGATTTTTTTTATCAATGCATCTACCGGTATATTACTCAGTCTGTCAATCGGGCAAACGGTATAGGCTATAGGGGCCTGGGCCTATATGTAGGCCTATTCAGGTACCAGTAGAAGCAACCCATCTTCATACCAGTAAATCATACATGTCCTATGCCAGGTACATTTCCGATTTGCACATGACCATTACGCAATATAAACGATTATAGTCACTCCTAACTTACATTCTTACATGTACAGTACATATATGATGCTGTACAAGAAGAGGCGGATACATGGGGGGGGGGGGGGGGGGGGGGCGACAGAGTTTCAGTAGGTGTCCACAAATAACTCCCTAGGTGATTCTGTGCACATTTTCTAGTTTGTGCATGTAGACTCCACTGTCCAGCGTATGTTTTTTTTTTTTTTTTTGCACAGCAATGACTTAAGCACTGCAACCGGCCTCTGGGAGAAAGAAGGCAATGCGGGTTTTTATATGATGATGGTTTTGAATGTAAGCGTGTAGTGAAAATTCAAGCATTTCAGTCTTTATGTAATTCCTTTTTATATTGAAAACCTGCATAGGCTGATTCTGAACGACAAAGAGAATGTGGGACCTTTCCTCTGGTTTTGCCACGAACATAAAATTATGCAAATTTCTGGCGTCATCGAGAAATTTCTGGAGTTAATTGGCAATTTATTGACTTTTTAAACTCGAAAATACGCGATTAATAAACAGAAATTAACTTCATTTTGAAACCTTCTTTTTTTAACTTGATCTTAGTCACGTAAATGGTTTTGCATATCTTTTTTATTTTGTCCTGCTGACATAAATTATTTCCATCGACCGGTAGTAATTTCCTTGCTTGATTAAAAGACGTATCACGCTCTTGCGACATACCGTCGTTTATATTGCATAACTGTTTATATAAATTAAGGACTGCGCGTATCCCACGTTTGAAAACTATGGCACAGTTGTATTAATAGCAAACGGTAGGACATTGCAGTGCATAATTAAGTATACATGTATAATAAAAATAGTATTTTTCCAATATAGAATGTATGTTTTAAATTTTCACAAGTCTGATAACCATGCCCTGTTACGAGTTAGGCATTAAATGTTAAAGTAAGCAGTGCACGTACTGCATGTACGCGTGTGTGTGTGTTTGCGTGCGCGGGTGCTTTCGTGCGTGTGTTTTTGTGTGTTATTTAATGAGCAGTGTCAGTAAAAACTATGTCTTTTCCATTGCAGGTACAGTGAGCCCCATGGCAGAAGTGGAAACGAACTTTACTAGTCCTCTAGGTAGTGCATATTTATATCAGAAAAGTGTAAAATACAATGTGTGTATTTGTTATTATACCAGAGGATTTTCCATTTATATTTTTGCTGTGATGCTAGAAAAGTTTAAAAGCATGGTATTTGAAGTAAAAGAAATTCTTCGGCGTCTATTTTTATTTTCTTTTAAGTTTATATATAAAAGGACATTACGTGTTCACGACCTGAAGTTCGTTAAGCGTCTTCTTCGAGTCTCTTCATTCAGTCATTCTTCATTGGTTCTAGTACATCTTCAACAAATGCTATGACCTGCATGTGACAATCATGTGATACAATTATGGCAGGTTAATTGAGCAGTGCATTATATCGCTTTAAACCAAATTCTTAATTTATCTATTGTAATACTTTTACAGCATATTATCAAACTTGCTCCAGAAGGAAAATGATTTCCGATTTTTATAATTGGCTAAATAAACTATTATTTTATCTTATTTTCTTTGTTTCAAATCTAGGAACAGCCATCGAGAGCAACAACCATGAGATTGTGGAGTTACTCGTGGCGCACCCTGGCTGTGACGTGAACGTCGGGAGTCGTAGGGGCCGTCCAGCCATCTACATGGCGGCAAAGAAAGGTTCTGCCCGGATTGTTCAAGCTTTACTGCATGGAGGCGCGAATATGGAACTCAAAGGACTCGATGGTGAACGATTTTGATGAACGTCCTGTTTGTATGGTCCTTGAATAAATCAATAACTTGTCATAGATTTATTATCTTGTAACAGAGCTTAGTATATGTCATAAGGTATATGAGTTTAAGCGCTCTTTGTTTATGTTTGTGAGCGTTGCACATGGTACTGGGATACAGTGTACACTTAAGAGTAGGTTCCACAACCGCTTACCACTAAATTCTATGAGAGAATTAAAAAAAGTTTGATACACAGGGAATACATATAGGGCCTACCTGTACAGGCCCGTAGCCAGCAATTTCAAAAGGGGGGTTCTTTTTCTGAAAAAGTGGACCTTCTTCCATAGAAATTTCATGTACCTAGATCAAATTTTACCCAGAATGGACCTTTTCCCAGCAAAAGGGGTGGTTCTTTCGACCCCCCCGACCCCCCCCCCCCTGGCTACGGGCCTGCTGTATGTACATGTGATTTTACCTTCAAGTGTCTAAGAGCCATTTGATACCTTGGTTTCACCATAAGCCGCTGTGTTTATTCTGTGGATGAGTTAGTTATATCAGAAGCGTAACTTTTGAGAAATTAAGTTCGTAGGTGTCTCGTGCGTGCTTTCCAGGAAAATTAAAAGTTATTTTCTTTCCTATCCAGCTTGGGAATCTCGTGAAAGACTTTTTATTTGACTTTTAATTTTAATAGTTAAGACTCGATAATGTTTTGAAGTGACATTTTTATCATACCACTTGGTTATTTTAAATTTGAAAGTATAGCTGGTTTGTCATTGAACGTGTTGCAACTGTTTTGATGCTAGGTGATAGCGCCCTCCTTGTGGCAGTTCGCAGTGGTCACCAAGAGGTGGTCAGAGTGCTGGTCGAGGCAGGCTGTGATCTAGACGCCAAAGATAACGCCAACACCTCAGCCATACATCTTGCGGCTCTGAACGGACACGAAGAAATTGCACGTGTAAGTATGATATACTTATTGGTGGATAAATATACCGGTATGTAGGAGTGACGCGTGATATCGGACCTCGTACGTGTTATATTCGTGCTATCAGCTATCGCCAAAACGTGAATATGCACACATAGGCCTACATGTAGGCTTACACTACTACTGTAAGTATAGTAACTTCGTATATGGCAAGTGTATAACTGTTTAAATAATTTTCTGGTCAGTACTTTTATTTTCCTTGACAGTCTGGAGGACTGTTCCTGAATAGTATGCAGGATCTTATTTTATAATACGTTTTTTTAAATAGTTCTTATTAGAGAAGGGGTGCGACCCAAATGCCATTGCCTCTCCTAAGTCAACCAAAGAAATGAAAATAGACCCAAGTTTAGGCATACGTCCACTTCATTATGCTGCGCACATAGGCAACAGCAATTTAGCCCGGTTACTGGTGGCACACGGCGCGGATGTTGACGCCAAATCCTACGGGTATCGTACGCCACTTCACACAGCCGCCACGTGGGACAGCTCCGAAGTGGTAGATGTTTTAGTGGAGGCCGGGTGTGACGTCAATGCACAAAGTCAGGAGGGAGATCAAAGAAAGACGGCACTTGGGATGGCCGTTGACGGTGGACGGAAGAAAATCGTGCGAAAACTTCTTGCAGCTGGTGCAAGCGTTAGTCTTGGCAGCCCTCTTCTTACGGCTATATACCAAGGTATTTGGATTACACTTTACACTTCATAAGCTGAAAAAAAAAATCATGTAAGGTTACTTTATAATAAAAGAAACGCTTAGAGTCTTAACTTTGGTCTACTAGATTTCCACCAAGGGGGTTCATTTATTTTTGGTTTACTTAGATTATTCCAGTAATGGTAGTTAAGTTCGTCGAAATTTGACGACTGCTCAATATACGATGAAAATTACCTAGTAACAGGACAAATCTATGCTTTATTTCCAGGTAATGAGCACATCGTGTTAAGTCTCCTCCAGGCCGGCGCCGATGTCAATCAGCAGTCACATAACGGGACCACAGCGTTCCAGTTATCACTACAATATCTGCCCACCCTCCCGCTCTTACTCCTACTAGCAGGCTGCAAGCTAACGGAAGAAGACAAAAACAAGCTGCAGAGTACTTTAACAAGTCGAACCAAAGACTATGTGTCAGCGGAGGCTGATATACTGGCCGATATGGCGTTTGGCGTGCACCCGTTGAAGTGCATGTGCCGTTGTGTTATACGGCAACAAATGGGAGTGTTAGTGCGGACGGACATCCAGTATCTGCCGTTACCCAGGCCTTTAATAGGGTTTGTTAGTCTGATGGATATGGAGTCTGGGTGAGATTAAGACATGGCTTTCTGATGCAGGAAGTGTAGTTTAGTACCTGCTAATGAAATGTTACAGTATAGCAAACGCTTACGAGTTATTAGCGCATTGTAACCAATGAGCAATTGCAGGTAATCTGAAATCATCATTCGGTGGCAACATAGGCTACAGTTTGTACAAGTGTACATATTGCCTGACAGATCCTGTGTCTAAAAAGATCAGATCATCGCTGCCAGTGGAAATTATTAAGGCGTCTTTTGTATTTGAAATTATCTTGGATTGTTGCATGATTTTACGCATTTTTTTCATTATGTGAAACCGTTTAGCGGAAAATTAATGGTGTATTTAAGAAACTAAAGGGCTTACATTTGATAAGGTGTAACTGCCAACAAACTTAAATGTAGTCCGTGCTTTTAATAGGAAAAATTAAACTTTTTATCCATTAATACACCACAGATAAATTCGAAATCGATAATATGGCGTCCCAGGTCTTGTGATTTGTGTTCCAGGACCTCACACCTTCTCACAAACACCTGAAAAGAAACATGAAATACAATGTGTATGTCTGGATAAGATCAATAGATTAACTTCTTAAAAATAGCAATTTGTATGGGTGACAAAGAGAGTAATGAAAAACGTACAGGCTTTGCGATCCGACCGCAAGCACATATTTCAGAATCATTGCGATAACCGCTGTTTAAATGGTAAATTGGGATTTTAATAAAATGTGTTGTTTGCAATGTGTTTATTGCGGAAGTTTGAATCTCATGTGGAGAGTTGTTATCTCTTTAATGAATTAATATCTTGATTTTTGGTACAGTTGCTGTGTTATATAATATCTTATTTTCCATTACAGTACTGTGGAACAAGAACTGGTGGTTAAAAAAGATAAAGCTATTCTTGTGAATAGGTCTGTAGCCAGTAACATTCACAGTTTTTTTTTCTAAAAACACGTGGACCCTTGTAATCCTTTGATCCAACTTGGGGAAATCGCACAAAACCTAGGGCAAATTTTGCTTCAGAGCAGAACTTCTCTATCAAAAAGGGCGTTTTACTCGCCTATGGGCCTGGTGAAAAATCAGATATAACCTTGAGTTACATGTACATGTCGCATTTTTGAATAAATAGCAACTTATATACAAAACATCAAAGAGTTTCAAATCTTACCTGTTTCTCCCATAGGTACTTCAAAGACACCTGTCCCTTTGCAAGCGTATCCTGTTCCACAAGGACATCTCATCACGTGGTAATGACCTCTCTCCTTAGATCCGCTGACAAAACAGGCTGAAAACAAACAAGGGGGAATGTGAAATGATCATTATTTGAATTAAGCTTATGTTTTCCACGCGTTGTCGTTAATACATGTACTTTGCAAGATATTGCTATATTACTGTAGTATATACACTGTAGTATAGTTTCTACAGGATAGCTAGCATATTGCAGTCAGTGTGGGTCAAGGGTTAAGATAGAAAGATTTGGAAGCTTCAGATTGCATTCAGAACTGATGATCCGCAGACTAACTGTTGTGCGGACTAAATATGAAACAAATATTAAAAGAAAGTTGCCTTATCTCTTGATGGTCTCCCCGCCTCCACACGCGCCATTAAACAGTTAAATCTCGGCTCCGAGGTTAAATTGCAAGACCCGTGCAGGGATGGCGAGTGTGGAGGCGGAGGGGCCATTAAGGGATAAGGCGAATTGCTTTTCAGTGGGATCGGCCATATTTAGTCCGTGGATCAGTTAGTCCGCGGGTCATCTGTTCTGAATACGGCCTCAGAGGTTTACGTGAATTTTCCACGCCCATCTTTGTACAGGTGCCCCACATGGATGGGAGAATAAGCTGACGTTTTCCTTTCAGTTGGAATTGACTGAGACAGCATTCATCCGACTCGCAGTAGCTAGCTGACAAGCAGCCCTTACTGCCATCTTGTGTGACCTGGAACATTGAAATGCGGCGTTATATGCTGCTCGGCCTTGCATGGAGGAAACGCCGAACGAGGCGGTGGCCTCACTGTTTAACCTAATAGGTCGGTTAACTCGTCAGTCAAAAGGCTCTTCGATACGAACCCATATTTTTTAAAACTACTCTGAGATGCCAGGGACTAGAAGGGAATCTGAAATACGGTTGTGTAAAACTTACGCGTAATTTTTAGATAGGTTATATTGCGGGGTTGCCCTCTTTTTACCTCCGTCAAGGAGGTTCTTTTCACCCCTGTGTTTTTGTTTGTTTGTCATCAACGTAACTCAAAAAGTTATGGATGAATTTCAATGGAATTTTCAGGGTAGGTCAGAAATGGGTCAACTTAAAAGTGATTACTTTTTGGTGGTGATCCGGATCAATAATCAATCAATAATCAAAAATCAAAAAACTAAATCATTATAGAATGAACATTTAGGGGTGCATGAAACGGCATTGGATGGAGACTTTGCTGCCTTGGTGGAGGTCTGCGCTCTCTAAGTGCTTTTCTAGTTTCAAATGTGTCGTCCGCTAAAGAAAAACCTAGCAGTGCGGAGAGCACTGCTCAATTGAAATGAAGATGTTGGTCTGGTTGCAGGAAGCGCTTTTTGGTCAACAATTATTTAGAGCGGCTGCAGGTCCAAAGGTCCTTGGTCCTAGGGAAACTATCCCTGTCAACCCTGCATATTTATGTTAGAAATGGTCTCAAGTGTTTTGCTTGTTATGATCTGAATGATTCAGCCTATGTGTCTTGCTATTGTGAATATGATGCTGCTGACTTTCATGATGTAGTGAACGTAGCGAAACAGTTACCCAAGTGCATGTACTGCACTGCTGGATGGAGAGATCATACAAGCACGTTTTGGGCGAATAATGTATACGTGTTATGTTTTTCATACATTTTTAAGATAAACTAATACAAACATTAAGATATCATCTTAAGTATATTACCCTTCCTTGTTTTATATGCACCTTTAAAACAGGAATACCCTACAATGTCACTCTGTAAAGAAATAAATCTGAAACTCGACTAGAAAACTCCGTCTATGGTATTGGAAAAAAAAAGCAATAGTATTACTTGTTTAAAAAAATGACTTACCGAGGAAGTAGCCACGGCTAGAAGCCAGAAAATACCGCACAGAGAGACGAAAATATGCATGTTCACGTTCCGCTTGGTCTTCAGTTTATTGTGGAGCATTCGGACCACTTCTAAGTGTAGTTGAGCTACTTATAAAGTGCTTTCGGCGGGGGTGACACTGAAAGAGATAGTGCACTGTTTTAGATGTAAACATTATCTCCAGGTACATACAACGTGCTTGAATTGCATTTTCTTCATCTTAGTTCACGATGCACAGTAGTTTGAAATTCGATTGTTTAAGCATGTGAATTTTTACACGAATCAATAAATTGTTTTTCCAAATTTTGAAAATCTAATACCCCTCCAGGTATAAAATTTAAGTCATGAGTTACCGCTATCTAATAGCGTATCTGAGAAATTAAACATATGTTGTCCTGGTATGAAAGATGGCACTCAAGTAAGGCAGCATTCACATCGAGAAGAGCCGATAAAAATTAAGTGCGCATGCTCATTGGTCTTGGGTCAGCTGACATTATCTCCGTAGATAGCCGATTCATTGCTGCTCTACGGGCCAATTCATTCCTTTTTCGTCTCTGTTTTGAAAGATAATAGAACAGAAGAGCTTTTTCCTTCGATCGCCTCCAGCCGCCATGCTTTCTTCACCTCGAGTTTAATTGATGAGCATGCGCATTTAACATTTCTCAGGTAGCTTCCGGGCGAATGGAGCTGAAATTTAATGACTGTACCCCCGCAGAGACGACGCGTGGGGAGGCGTTTGAGAGGCGGAGAGACTATTAAAAGATTAGGCGGTTTTCCTTTCATGTACGTCCGCCATATTTAGGTCTCGGCTTTGTTGAGCCTGAGCTCTTCTCGATGTGAATTCGCGCCTTAAAGAGACCATGCCCGCACGAAAATGCAGTAGTATCGAAGTAGCAAAGAAGCATTAGTGCAGTAGTGGTGTGGAGCATATTTGCAGTAGAAATGCAGTATATACTGCAATTCTACTCCAAAAAGTACATAGGTTTGTACAGAGAGGAGCATTAATGCAGCAGATTAGCAGCATGATAGAAGCATGCTTCAAATATGCTAATTAGCTCCCAAATCGAAGCAGATTTGAGGCATGTTTGCAGTATGATTGCAGTAGTCTACTGCGCTGGAGTATCTACTGCGTTTTCGTGCGGGGCATGTCAAACGAAATGTTGCATCTCTTAAGTACATTTTATTTGATTCAAAAATGGAGACATGTTATGAGAATTATTTAGTCGATGCTTTAATCTTAACTTACAAATAACCACTCCAAAAGCCAAAAGCAAAAACCAAAGGCACTGACAAAAGAAAGTGTTGTTAATATGGCTGTATAGCTCCTTGTGGTCCGTTATCTATAATTACGCACAGTTCAGTGTGCACGTCATCAAAAGATAATGAGATCGAATTGAAAAAACCCATTAAGTCTCTCTAAGAATTATCGCTGTGTATAAATATCGTAGCTACCCGCACGAAAACGCAGTAGATACTCCAGGGCAGTAGACTACTACTCTGTTCAAACCTATGTACTTTTTGCAGTAGGCTATACTGCATTTCTACTGCAAATATGCTCCACACCACTACTGCGTTGATGCTTTTTTGTTACTTCGATACTACTTCGTGCGGGTATGGTGATTGCTTTATTGCCACAGTAACATTATTGTTGAATATTTATATTATGGGCACATTTTTGCCATCCACAGCTTCTTATAAAACCTTACATACACCTTAAAATTATTTAACCCTTTAAATATATTTTCTGGAGCGAACCTGATGTTGATATTTCCATTGGAGCTTATAAGTAAATGGTCGCTGTTTTAATGACTGGTCAGTCATTTTAAGCTAAAATCTACCTTTATAAATTTGATCAAAGGTCTAATCCAAGTGCAGAGGGGGAAGATTCATAAGTATGAGAAAATTGGTTATTTTCTCCGGAAAATCCATTTTGGCGAGTAAATCTCATGTACTAGACAGTAGTGAACTTACATGGAGATAAAATGCTGTGAGCATGTTCAACAACAATAATATGCGCTGCCTTAATGTTCATGCGGATGGCTCAATTTTTTACACATTGTAATTTTTGCTATGTCCTCCTAGACCTTTAGAAACTTAAGGATATGATGGAACTTTCATCAGGGACTTGCCTGAGCACTTTGGAATTTTAGTGCGCTTCTGGGTAGGGCTGTTCCTGGGGGTTGTAACTAAAGCTATCTCCATCTAGACCATTATAGTGAGGCGGTTCAAACGTTGGGGACTGATAGACCTATCATGTGGATGGACCAGTCATTATTTATGTGCGCATATAAATTGGGATGTCTCTGTGGGGGAGGGGTGGGGGGGGGATTCTTTTTTAAGAATCTTACTCGAATTTTTTAAAATTGCAATACCGTTTATTAGGCATATTGGAGTCAGGCATTGTCATAGATATCAAGGTAATGGGGTCCCTGAGGGTGAGCTACTCTCTACAATGTGGAGAAGTGCGGGGATATGCGACGGCTTCTCATTAAAAACCATCTAGTTTTTTTACTACTGTCAGCAACGGCGTGTAGGTCCTATTAAATTTATTCAGCACGCGTAGTAAGCCCATTGGTTTGCTAAGGTTGCTGCCTTGTGCGTGCAGCGGAATACCTGTGTAGGGGCGAATTGTTGAATAAAGTGCGATATCAGAAGCCTTATCATTCTTATGTCCCGCCCCCTTGATAAGAGATTCCGTATTGCCTCCCCCATTACTGATTTGAAAAAGGCTTCGTACCAGTAGCAAACAGCAACTGAGGATACCCACCCTAAGACAGCTATAAAGGCCCAATGCGGTGCTAGTAAATTCAGTTGCATTTACGGCTCGCACGGGGGACATCTAATCCAAGTCTTACAAGATGGCAACCGTTCTCCACTGGGGTGATATTCTCACCATTGTTGTGTACTTTGTCATCGTGTTGGCAGTCGGGCTGTGGGTAAGTAAAGTTTTACAGGTGTTTAAATACTGCATCGATATGATTCTGAGGATCACTTTAATTGTCGAAAATTGAGGTTGCAAACAAATGCCAAATAGGCCCACTGAATATTAATACAGGTTAGCTGTAGGCATTCTACTGAATTGCTGTTGTTATTACACCACATCGTATTCAAAGTTTTAATTTCTCGAGTTCAAAACTAATAACACCCGTCCTCTTCCACCCCTTTCTCTCTCTCTATTTATTTGGCGATTTTAAGAGAGACACTTTATCTGTCATTAAATTCCATAAAAATCCCCTAGGAAGGACTGATATTTGGGTTATAATGGTGTATATATCTAGATCTACACTGAATAAATACGACTTTAACTATCAGATTTCATTGTATAGATTCATGGTAAGACAGCAACATTTTTTTCTCCACCTAAAGGCTATGCTTGGACACATTATACGGTTGCACTTCTTTGCTATTCATGAAAATAAAGACAATTAATGCAGAGATTGAATGTAGCAAGACATATTGCACATTTAACTGCAGTTTTGTTGCAATAAAAAGCACCCCCCGCTTTTGTAAATGTCACATTTCTTATGTCTACGTATCCTCCAAAGTTACTCATCTATCCCAATTTAGACCTTAAAAACAATAGCCTTAAATAGCCCAGTCTTTTAATAAAACTACCTGTTGTCTAATAAAAAAACGTATAAAACATCGAATTTAATGCAGGGACAGGACAAGCAATGATTCAAGAGTACGAATATACCTTTTTTAACGAGGGAAATTTGATTTGGCGGGAAAAATCCCACATAGGATACCTTTAAATACATATTGCTTGTATGCTACTGTACGCCAATTAAATGCAAAAAAAGCGGTTTGTTACATTTCAACTTCTGCATTTGGATTTACAACCAGACAAGGCATTTGAGTTCGCTAAATAGCTTCAGACACGCAGTCTACACGTATAAAAAGAATTTCCCCTCTCCACTCCCTACATGTGCTACATTTCTAACGAAACATGTGATGTGGAATGCAGCATTATAATGTATAAATAGGCTGCAGTCACGCTAAGATTTAAATTATCAAATATATATATAACCATATCATTTAATTCGTTAAGCTCTAACAAACCATGCTAAATATGTTCTCGCGGACTAGTTATTTGTATTTATGTTTTGGGCGTGTGTGTGTGAGTGCGTGTGCGTGCATGTTTGCGCATGTTATTTCATTGGCGTTCAATACACAAAATAACATGGCAGATTGTTAGACATGACCAATCGGTGCCAGCAATTTGCTTATTAAGCAAGACGCACCAGAGTAAGAACTTGATTGTCTTTAAGATAAACTAGGTTTTTATCATTGTTTTATTTTATAATTCAGACCAGTATCCGTTCACACAAGCAAGACACTGTCCAGGGATACTTCTTAGCGGGAAAAGACATGTCATGGCTACCCGTGAGTATTTACGAGAAATGGTCTATGCGTTACTGACCCACAGCTCTTTTTAAAAACAGACTTCCTTCCTCGAAGTGCCGCAATGGCATTGTTAAATATAACATCACCCAAGAATAATTTTCATATCAAGTCCAAAGACACGTCAAGTCTCAATTACCTAGTTCATCTCACTCTCTACTCTCATCTTTACTCTGCCAATTCCACATACCCTGTATAGAGAAATCTTTCACCAGATATTCACATATATCACTATGCCTATTTACTGGCTGAGCAGACGTTTCTGCCAGGATTTTTTGCACAACATCGACGCTGTCACCCAGTCGGCCTCTGATGGAGGGTAGTTTAGATTCTCAACATATGAAGCTGTATGCATTAACGCAATCAACTTGAACTCATTTTGAAAGAGATGACTTTATATATTTAGAGACAAGACACAAACATATGCTAATGAATAGCGTTACTATTTGAATGAGAAATTAGCGAGTAAGAATGCCTCTAGGTGCAGCGCGTCTCTATGTTATACTTTTATTTCAGGTTGGTGCGTCCATATTTGCCACAAATGTTGGGAGTCACTTTTTCATAGGAATGGCAGGGACAGCGGCCGCCAGTGGAATTGCAGTAATCATGTTTGAGTGGACAGTAAGTTGATACCGTAGCACATCCTTACTATGATACCAGGG